GTACATGCCTGCAGTCCCAGCTACTCAGGAGGCTGAGGCAGCAGGATTGCTTGAGCCCAGGAGTTTGAGGTTGCTGTGAGCTAGGCTAATGCCATGGCACTCACTCTAGCCTGGGAAACAGAGTTAGACTCTGTTTCAAAAAAACAAAAAAACAAAAAAACAAAAACAAAAACAAAACAAAAATAAAATAAAAGTCATGTCAGGCAATACTGCCTGTTCGTACTTGTGTTTCTAATATTTTTTGAGAATTATTACTAATGTAAAAGTGAATTACTCTATGCAACTGATATGCCACAGACCTCAACTGTCCAAATAGCAATAAGTCCTAGCCCCTACCTGCTCAATTATCAGATCTTACATCTGTGAGAAAGCATTAAGCTTTTGCCTTTTGTTCTGGGGTATTTCCAATAAGGGTGTGTCCCATGGGCACACAACCATTCTGCCTGCCATGGTCACTACCATGATCACTTTGGGAGCAGTATAGAGAAGATACAAGGGAGTCAGATCACAGGCAGATGGAGCGATTGGGCAGTTGCTTTCCAGGTAAGATATGACCAGAGTATGAAAGACTGTGCAGACAAGAGATATTTAGAGGACAGCATTGACAGAACTCGGTGATTTTTTGATTTTCTGGGGATAATTTTGAGGCGTCTAAATGGGTTTCATTACAGTTTCTCTAAGACATGTACTTTCTCCTGCATTCTCCCTGTCACCAAAACCATAACTTTGAGAATTATTCTAGTCTTTTCCCTACCTCTAACCACCTTGTCCTTCAATGGTTCAGCAGGCCCTATTGATTATGCATCTTAAATGTCTCTTGAATCTGCCTCCTCAATATCCTCTCTGTTCCTCACTGTTTCATGCATTATGCTTTTGAACTTGATCTTCACTGCCAAAAATGGCAAAACACAAAGAAGAAAGCAAGAGATGAAAAGACAGAAAAAAGACCTACAAGGAAATAATGAACAAAATGGCAATAGTAAATCCTTCTCTATCAATAATTACTTTAAATGTAAATGAATTAAACTCTCCAATCTAAAGACACAGAGAGACTGAATGAATAAAAAAACAAGACCCAACTTGTTGGGTTGAAAGTGAGAAGATGGAAAAAGATATTTAATGCAAATAGTAACCAAACATGAACAGGCGTGGCTATATTTATATAAGACAAAATAGACTTTAAGTAAAAACTGTGATAAAATATAAGGAATGACATTATATAATGATAAAAGCATCAACCCACCAGAAAGATACAATTATAAATACATATTTATCCATTAGAGCACCTACATATATAAAGCAAACATTGAGAGAAGTGAAGGGAAAAAGAGATAGTAATACAGGCATAGTAGGAGACTTCAATACTCCACTTTCAATAATGGATAAAACATATAGGCAGAAGACCAATAAAGAAACAGAGGGCTTGAACAATGCTACAGACCAATGGACCTAACATATGTATTCGTAATAGTCCACCGACAGCAGCAAAGTATACATTCTTCTCAAGTAGAACTTCCTACAGGATAGATCACATGGTAGTGTTCTTACCACAATAAAATAAAATCTTAAGAAAAGAAATAAAATCATAAAACTAAAATAAAAATCCTGTTCCTTTGAAGCCCTTGTCATTCAGCTAGCTATATCACCTTTTCTCTTTATATTGTCATCTTCTGACCACCTGGTGGACTGGTTGATCCTGTTTCTTTATTAAAATTTTGAGAATGTGGTTTTCTTTGTCTTCAGTCAAAGAGCAACAGTTATTCTGAATGATGCTAACACCACATGGATAATTAATCAAATGGCATCAGGCTCTGAACTTCTTGACTCCCTCATCTCCCCTGATCTTTACAGCTCACCCACACACTTTCACAGCCACTCACCGGACAAATGTTACTGTGTTTGCATTTGCTACGGCTGCCATAACAAAATAACTCAGAGTGGGTGGTTTAAACAACAGAAATGTGTTTTTTTCACAATCTGGGGGCTAGAAGCCCAAGATCAAGGTGATGGCAGGATTAATTTCTTTTGTGACCTCTCTGCTTGTCTTGAAGATAGTTGTGTCTCACTGTGTCCTTACATGGTCATTCCTATGTCTATGTTGTCTGTGTTGTAGTCTCTTTTTATAAGGACGCTAGTCACATTGGATTAAGGTCCTCCCCAAACAACACCAATTTAACTTAATTATCTCTTTAAAGGCCCTGTCCCCAAATGCAGTCACATTCTGAAGTACTGGGGGTTTGAACTTTGACATATGAATGGGGTGGGGGGCATAATTCAGCCCATTAAAAACTTACAAGAACTCAAGCTTAAAAGTCAGCTATTCAAATAATCTGTTCTCTGACTTCAACCTTTCTCCCTTCCCAACTATTCATTTGGCTACTCCATCTCCAGTAGTTCTGTGATGGCACAGTGACCTCTATTTCCTTCACCATTTGCTTTCTGTAACCCATTAGTTCACTGTTTTCTTAACTTCCTTCCATATCTACCTTAAATTTTATGATTCTTCATTTCAGTAATGCTATGGAATGAATGTTTATGCCCCTGCTCTTCCAGTTAATATGTTGAAGCTTAAATCCCCAATGTGAGGGAGTATTTGGAGGCGGGGCCTTTGAGAGGTAATTAGGTCATGATGGTAGAGCCCTTATGAATGGGATTAGTGCTCTTACAAGGGCATGAAGGGATCAGAGCTTTTTCTCTCTGCCATATGAGAAGACACCAAGAAGACCAACATCTGCAGACCATGAAGTGTGCCTTAACCAACACTGGATCTGCCAGTGCCTTGATCTTGGACTTCCCAACCTCCGGAACTGTGAGAAATGAATTTCTGTTATTTAAGTCACCCAGTTTATGATATTCTATTATAGCAGCCTGAACTGACTAGGACAAACAAGAATCAATAGTATTCTTCCAATGCCCTGATTTTCCTTGTCTCTCTCTTTTCTTCATACACATCTAGCAAAAATCCATCCCTGAATGACCCCAACTAATTTATATTTGCCTACAGTAATCAGCCAAGGGCTGCTGGAGATAGTTGTATGTCAAGGAAGATTAGCTCTTCCATAGTTTAGTGATTCAAATGGCCTCAACACAATCTATGAGATGGTTCAGAAATCCTATCACATTGCTCTTACTGACTCCCTCTTTCACACACAATGACCATTTTAAAACTTCTCTTCTCCTCAATGCTTCAAGCCTCCTGCTCTCACTCTCACTCTCAGCATCACTTACTTCATAGAAGATATAGGTGCCCTCAGGCAGGAGCTCCTTCACTTCCCCCTACCAAACAGAAAATCCCATTTATCTCTGTATGCACCTGCTCCTCCTCCCTCTTTTACGATAGAGGAGCAGTCTCCTTTCCTGCTTAAGGCCAGTTCTGCCTCTTGTCCCTTTGTTTTTACTCCCTCCCACTTTTTTCGATATGTCACATTATTTCTCTTTCTTGTCATATAAATTTAACCTCACCTGTTTACTAGATTGTTTCCATCAGTATTTAAATAAGTTTTTATCTCTCCCACTTACAAAGGATAAATTCCTTGATCTCATATTAGCCTCTAGCTACTGCCCCATCTCTCTTAGAAGCTGACTTTCTCAAGAGCACTGACTATTCCCACAGACTCCATGTCCTTACATATCACTCTCTCCTTTATGTGCTCTCGCCTGGCTTTTAGTCTTATTACTCCACCAAATCAGCTCTTCTAAAAGCACCAATGATATCTATTTAATATTTAGTTCTTATCTTTCTTGACTTCTTAGCATCATTTGACCCTGTTGATCTTTCCTTACTTGAAATACCATCTCCCTTTGACTTTTCTGATGCTATGCTTTCCTGGTTCTCTGTCCCATGGCTTGTCATTCCTTTTCAGTCTCCTTCACCCAGCCATTGAGTGTTAAGTTTCCCTAAGGCTCTCCCAATCTCTTTTCTTATTCTGTTCTCTTGCCCTAGGTGATGCCATCCAAGCCCACAATTCTCTTAAAAGCCAAATGTGCCACAGGACTTTGCACGTGGTGTTTACTTAATATAGCAAGTTCCTTCATACCCTCCCCTAACTCATCATATAATTATAATTTATTCATCCTTCACCTTGAAGCTCAGATACCACCTTCTCAAAAGCATTGCACAACCTACTTGTTCTTGT